TGAAGTTTGCAGAACAGTGAGACGAGCCCGCAAACTTCAGCTCCAAGCGCTCAAGCCTTGTGCAGTGTTTCTCATCCCTCAGGCAGTGCAAGCAATCTTCTTCCCAGCTCCAGGCAGTGCTGTGCTCTTAGGGGTCATGGTGAGTGTGCCGGGCTGTCTGTTGCTCGCCATTTCATCGCGAGCCCCCGGGATCATGTTCATGGCACGCACCCTGCTTTCTATAGGTCTAGCTCTGGGCTTTGCCGAATGTGTGCGAGGCTGTGCGGTGCTATACGACTGCCAAAGTGGGACGACCCGTGCCGACGACATGCTCATGATGTCTGCCATAGGAGTGCCTAGGGAACGTAGCTGCAAGAGATGAGACTGAATGCGGAAGGGTCCTGAGCGGGCTCAAGGGTGCAGTGTGAGTGCAGCATGGCAGAGGCGAGCCAGACCCGTGATGCGACTCATCGGAGTACGAGGAAGTTGTTCTGGAGTCGGAGGGGGAACCGGCAATGACTCCAGGACCACATGGGTGTTTCCGAAAATAGAGGGTACCGTGGACCACCACCACCGAAACCGGTCCAGGTGGAGATGCGTGAGAAGTCGCTACAAGTCGCACAGGCGGTGGGGCATGCGCTTCACTTGAATGGCCAAGCGTTGGCGGTGCTGCCGAAAAACTGGATGCTGCTCACCAAAATGACCATAACGGTCCGGGAAATGAGATGAAGCGATGCAGCCGAATATGCTCATCCATGGCCAGATGGCGGAACTCGCGGCAATGTCGGAAGGCCCAGACCCTGCTATGGGGGCAGGCCGGGCGAGGTTGACTGCAGAGGAGGGTGATGCCATTGGGGCGGACTTCAAGCTGGATGAGACGATGTCTGAACTCGAGAATGACATCCAGATTGCGGAGGCCCCCAAAATCTACACATCTACGCAACAGAGACCTGTAAGACGATCAGAGTTTGCACCGCCTGTACCAGACCCAGCCATCCGCAACAACCGCAAGTGCAGGACTCATTCGCTGTGTTGCGAAATTGTCACCTGTGTAATGACATGCAGTCTGACTGTCTGCTCGTGGACGGCGGCAGCTGCACTGTGCCACCCAGGCCAAGATTTGAGGGCTGGGCTAGTAAGGAAGGCAGGGTGCAGGATGGCACTCGCAGCCTCTGGTGGAGGTGGTGGGAACCAGCCACCCCGCCGAGCCATGACAGCGAGGGACGGCAGCCACTCCGACCAAAAGAACGGATGCTGTTTGCTGCGACGCACATACTTGGGCCTAGCATGTCTCATCGGCACCATGGCCTATGGCACTGCGTGCGAGCCTGTGGATGGCCAGGTACCACCTTTAATGGATGACGAGTGCGGCCATACCCACCGGCGTTGAAGCGTTGGGGCATCACTCTCTTGAATCTCACAGCAGTCGTCGTTGCACTCCTGATCAGGTATCTGGCAGTGTTCCCGAACCTTATGCAGAACAGGGTCTATACGAGCCCCTGCCTGACTTCCCTGCGGGTGCGATTCTCAGCTATCACCTAGTGCACTCGCTGAAGACGCTAGCCGCTAGCATCAGATCCTTTCATGCTACGATCCACATTGCCCAGAACCAGATGCAGAAGCTGCTCACCCCACATGACCCGACCAGGTATCCTCCACTACATGAAGCAAGCAAACCCACGAGGAGCTGCCCCCCGGGGCCACTGCCATTACTACTTGAGCTTCCGGTATGCGCTGATGATCCTCTGGCTTGTTCAGTGCATCAACCCTATCAGTACACACCGCCCAACCTAGTTACATCCGGAAGCGAGCGCTGAGAAGAGCAATCCACAGAGCAGGGAACAACCCCGATGGCCACACATGCTACAGAGGACAGAGGCTCCACGGCAGTCAGGCCAGCCGAATACAGCGGTGGCTGGTAGGGTCAAGCAGGAGCTGGGGAACGACGGCCCGCAGACTTGGAATTGTATCCTGGAGCGCGGGTGGCCTGAAATCCTTGCGTGGCTTCAAGCTGAGTCCCAACGAAGCAGGAGTGTTGACCTTCTGATTGTCCAGGAAACGCAGTGGAAACAGGAAAAGGACTTCACAACGGTCCTGCCTGGCTCCGACAACAAGAGCTACCATGTGACACACTCAGCGGGCACGGAGAAATCTAGGATTATGTGCCTCGTACGTGCTAGCCTTGTCCCCACAGCCAACATCAGGCACGTTACGTGCGTCCCAGGTCGCCTGCTACACCTCAGACTGCTGCTGGAGGCGCCCCTGGACCTACTTCTTGTTTATCACACGCGGAACCCACAGGAAAAGCACCCTGGATGGACCTTGCAAGTGTCGAACCTCATCAAGCAACGAGCACGTGTCTGGCGACAAATTGAACAATGGCTCAAACAAGTGCCCAGCAGGCACGGGTGCATACTCATTGGTGACTTTAACACACCGATCATGACGGAGACTGGCATTTGTGGCGCAGGTGCACTGACAAAGGCATGCAGCAGGGCACCCCAATTGACTTTGTCATTGTTAGAGGTGGCCTAGTCGATGAGATTGCTCAGAGGGCAGGATCCTTTGATGCCCCATTTGTGCCAACCTCTGGATGCAGGCACCGACCCATACAATAAGCACACATCCGAGGGCCGAGCCTTCCTCGTCACAAATGCGACAAACCACAAAAGCAGCACCCTGCTCAGGTATGCAAACTCCTACAAGATCCCAACGAGCCAGCTGTTTTGCGACCAACGCAATGTACATCCTGGAGCAGGGGCCTGAGGTCAAGACTCTGCTCTGCTGGAAGGCTGGAAGCTGGTGGAGCACGAGTCACAACAGCCCAGGCGACCGCAGCAGCCCATTACTCAGGACATAGTTCAGCAGCAGCATATGGCACGGTACAACGTTGGGGGTGATGTGGCAACTACGGGACAGACTGCGCACCCTGTCCAGAAGGAGCAAGTCCAGGCCTGCAACGGATCTGGACAGCATGGGGTATCACGGCTAGACGACAAGCTGTCACGAGACAGCTTCGGCAGGCGAAAGATAACCCTGCGCCTGAAGGAGGCTGTCGAAGCAGACAACATACATCAAGCTGCCAAGCGATTTGCATCTAAACAGGAACGACGGCGGCTACAGCTGCGATCAAAGGACGGCCGCATCCAGTCCCACGAGGCCGAATTCCAACAGATCAAGCAGTACTTCACTGATCTCTTCAAAGGCCCGCCGGTAAGTGTGGTATCCCTACCAGAGGACATCTACTTCACGGGGTGTGAGCTGATGACGGCCTTACAAAGACTGGCAGCCGGGAAGGCCATGCCGTCAGCCAGTGCACCGGCTGCCTTGTGGAAGTTCATGACGACACAGGCTGCCCGTCTGCTACACCACCAGATCAATGCTGCCCTAAGCCACGGTACTACCTCGCTGCCAATGCACTGGAACATCTCCGATCTCATCCTGCTGCCCAAGCCAGGCAAGAAAATGTGTTCCCCAGCGCAGTTGCGTCCGATCAACCAACTGTCGATGCCGGCAAAGGTCCTTGGAGCCATGGTCGCTGGTCGCGGCGAGGCTTCAAGACTATGCCACACAATATCTGCAGGATGTGCCACAGTACGCGTACATTGGGGGGCTCCTTGGGCATGGCACTGGAGAGGGTTGCAGCCCATTGCGCGTGCACCAGAAAATGCTACAGGACCAAGCCAGCAACCTGCACGCGAGACGGGAAGGACGTCGAGCAGCGCAGGTTTGCGGGGGTTGCATCCTGTCGTTGGATGTGTCCAAGGCGTATGACCATGTGCCGTGGATCGATCTCTTGCAGGCCCTCTGCGAGACGTGCATTCCCGAGGGACTGATGGCCCAGATCAGGGTGTCACACTGTCACCAAGAAGCGACTCGCGCCCATACTGAGGGCAGTGTGTTGTGGGCTGGGTACTCAAAGGGCTGCAACGGAAAGCAGCCATAGGCCTGCCTGCAGAAAACACGACATACGCAGACGACCTACTGTTCAAAGGACGGTGTTCTCAAGGAAAGGACATGGAGCGAGTGTACGAGAAGATGAAGGGGATACTTCGAGGCCTACGGGAAGAAAGACTTCAGGTAAGCACTCACAAAACTGTGGCGATTGTGGCGCTACAGGGTCCTGGAGCAGCGGCGTGCCTTCGCAGCTATGTGGTGGACAGGCCTGGGGTACGAGGACAGTTTCTCAGATTTGTGATCGAGGGCGAACACCAGATTGTGAAGGTTGTAGAGGAGCACTTGTAGCTGGGCGCCAGGATTGGGCACAAGAAGTTCGAGCAGGCAACTGTGAAGCATCGCCTCTCTCCTGTTTCGCGTCTCTCAGCAATCCTTAAGCGCCGCACAATATCGATGAAACTTCGCTTGCAACTGTGGCAGGGAACGATCCTGCCGACTATGCTGCATGGGTTGGACTGCTTGGGTCTGCGTCCAAAGCAGTAAATGCTGCCTGTGCCCAGCTTTGGTCCACAGAGGACCGACTCCGGATAGTGGTCATTATCAATCTATCCTGTATGAAGAGACGGAGCGAAAGTCCTGGCTTGCTGATGATGGAGTCCCTGCGACTCCCGTGCAGGATGAAGACATCGTTCGTTCTTATTCTGACATATAATTGCTCTTCTATCGACTGTACCAATGACCATGCGGGGACTTTGCATTTGGGCATTCGTGCCGAAAGTTTTCCAAACTAATTGGGAGGAGATGTGCAACAATGCACGTAAGCCTGTCTCCATTTTCGTTCTGCCGAAGCTCGTACTTCTGCAACGTCGAAAGTGAAAGTGAATGTATGTATGCATGTATGTACG